TTCCACAAAGTCTGCATTTCCTTTCTTTCTTGTTCTTCTTCTTCCGTCCACTTCTCCTTCCCTTTCTCCTTGTTTCCTACCTCGTACCTCAACTTTGCTATTAGTTTGATGTTTTTTCTTCCATATATTATTCCAAATTTAACTACATGTACATAATTTATGTGTTTCTTCCTTTTTTCTCATCTTCATTCCCGCTACCCCTGTTCTTTTTACTTCTTTGCATTCCCATAACATGTGCTCAATATCTTCCTCTTTCCACAAAGTCTGCATTTCCATTTTCTTGTTCTTCTTCCGTCCACTTCTCCTTCCCTTTCTCCTTGTTTCCTACGTCGTACCTAAACCTCGCTATTAGTTTATTGTTTTTTCTTCCATATTTCGGCAACCACCCCTTTATAAGCTCCTTTTACCTACTGTTTTCTCGTGAGCTCTCGCTCTCTGTTGCTGTACTTGTATATTGTGTGTAATCGGCCAACTACACCACCCACAAAATACCTGTCCATGAAATGGGTCTGGGATATGAAAACAAAAATCTGACATGAACACTCAATCCGGGTCGCACAATGGGTTCGAAAAAACACACAATGACAAAAATTTATTCCTTACCACATTTAATAAAAATTAAAACAAAATTCCTCAAAGTAAAGAGAAGCTTACAAAGCTTGTTTGGACATAGTATACCGCACGCAGACGGTCGAATAAAAAAATCTTAAATTCCTTACAGTTTTTCTTTTTAAATAATCCAGTTAATCTGGTCGCTCAAAGGTTTTGCGCTCCTTATTTCGATAGGCTTGACCAAATGTTTCTTACTTAAGGCGTCTTAACCAAGTCGAATAATTTACACAAATGATACAATTTAAACAAAAATTTTGCAATTACAAACAATTCTATAAAGGAACAACAAATACTGAAATACGAATTCAAATAAAAAACAACTAACTCTGTGCTTATTCGTCACTCCTCTCCCTCTCCGAGTTAATAAATTGAAATATTTCTCATATACACGGTGTCCCATCATTATTTTTGGGTGTAAACTGACGTCCATTGACATGGTTTGCACAACAATATCTATGTCCTTTTTTGTAGGTTCATCTTCCATTCTTTCCCCTTTTTCTTTCATCCTTTCGACATCTGCACGTCTGTATTTATTTCTTTCATTACGTTTTTTCTTTGTTCCACCCAGTTTCCTTTTGCGCTTATCCTTGTTGATAAACATTCTTTCACCAATTCACTTTCTCTTTTTCTCCTTTCCTGAAACCTTACCGCTTTGCGTCCCGACGCCAGTACACGTTGGTATACCTTCTTTGCATTCCTTCTAGTTCAGCCCCTTTCTTCCCACTCCATTTCTCCGTTCCACACATCGACACCCTTCTCACCATTGCATAAAAAAGGTCTGTCTCTCTGTCGCTTTCCTTTTTCTCAGTCTCTTTAATTGCATGCTCAATTTTTTTCTTGATGTCTCGTCTCCTTCCACCACTTCTCTTCCTGTTTCCTCTAACCCCTCCTCCATCCCCTGCTCTCATTGGTGATGCTTCCAGTTTTCTATTCGTGTTCCTTTCCCACTTGTTATGCTTTCCCTTTTTTCTCCGTGTATCATCTTATAAAAGTTCTTCTTTGTTTTTATTTCCAGTAGTTGTTCGCATTCATTCTGTTTCTCCATCCTAACATTTTCGTTTATCTTTTTTTTCCGTGCTCTCAACTCTTTTTCTTCTATCTCTCCATTGCTTTCTTTCTCCGTTAATATTCTGTATCTATCTCTCTCATCGGTACACTTTCTGTCCCACCACTCCTTTTTATTGTCTCCCCCATCCCCTCCAATTACCTGTTGCCACGTTATTGCCTTTTTTATACTCCCCCTCATAGTTTTCCACTCCTCTGTACACTATCCTAGTTCGTCTCGGTATCTTTCGATAGGTCTGTAACAAAGCGCTCAGTTTTCATACCGGAATTTATGAATACATCGTACATAGATGCCCGCTACTAGCTTTAATGATCACCTGGTATATATGGGCGAATAATTGGGCGCTTCGTTACAAAGAAAAGCGTAACTTTTAAATTTATTTATTTCTTCTAGAAGTGAGAAATTAATGTATCACAGTAATGCTTTAATTTGTAGAGCCGTGTAACCACTAATAGAGAAATTAATTGATCAGTTTTATAATTGTTTCCGTAGAGATATGTAAATTATTTTTGTAGCATTCGACAGCCATCGGCACGGGGAATCAGTGGGAACATATTTTAGAGTTTCCGCTCTGGTTAGTAATTATTAGATAATTTCGGTTTCCCATGTTAATTTAAAACGAGCATTCAAGTTACAAGTTCGTGCAGTTTATTTCATTATCGCAGACCTGTTGCGATTGGCCCGAAATTGCAGGTAGCAATTGGGCATTACTGGGCTATTGAGTTTGGAAATTTTGATTAGTACAATTAACCGTTGCTAATTAAATGAGTTGCAGCAAACAGCATCCGGTTAGGATATAAATGGTCCGAAAAGGCGCGCTCTTAATTAATCTGAATTTTAAGACCACTTATGAGATTTTTAGGACGTCAGCAGGCCGCACAATTAATTAAACAAGTTTTAATTTTTGGACGTTCCGGCGTTCCCTCTATGAAATGGCCGAATTTTATATAAGGTCAAGCCGTTGTTTAGTGGAGATCTTATTGAGATTTGCATCTCCGCAAGTTACGTTCGTACCGTAATTTTTCGCGTTCACTTTGGCACCCGTAGCGTATTTAAATCATCGCTCTTTCGCCATTCTGCATCTTTACCGGTCGCGTACATTGAAATTTTTTTCTGCCCCGTTAAATTTTAAAGGTCAGCGTTTGATACTTTCCTTTCCGTTAATTATAAGGGCGGGGGGTAGGGGGAATTGCTTTGATTTTTCCACATTTGATTTCCCGTAGCTACCGCTAATGCTTGTCCGTGTGACGTTGATGTTCTTAGATCCTTCGCCAGCAGCAAGGTTCCTCCTTTCCACCGACTGCCGCTACTTTTCGCCCACTGGTGTGATTGAATTACAATCATTTATTTTTCTTTTAATTAAATTTTAATTTTGATTCCGCTATATTGTTTAATTTTAATGCAATTTGTGCGCGGACTTCCTACCGCAGTTCGTCGCAAGCCTCCACAGTGTCTCTTCTTTATAACTGTCTCTTTGTATCTTTCCATTTCTTGATCTTTTTGTCTTCCTTTTTAGACTCATTTCCATCGGTTGGTTATCCGCTTCTATTCCCGTTCTTACCTTAAATTATTGTTCTATTTCTTCCAGTATTACCGACCTCTCCATCATCTTTTTAGCGCATTTTTGAAAAAAAATACGCTATTATATTCGTTATTGCTGGCAGGCCGGCTGTCCGCGTGAGATCTCCATAACTACAATAGCTAGAGAATTTTTTTTAGAAATTTTCACTAAAAGCTTTCTGCTATAGTGTAGATGTGCAGGCACTAGTCTATTTTGAGTTAGATTACTCGTGAGATCGATAATTGAAGAAAATAATTTCGATATGGGTTTCGGAGGTGCTATAATTTTACCGTTAGGTAGCGCTACCAGTATAAAAACTTATTATTTACTTTGTGATTTGTTTTACAAAATGAAGACGTACCGTCAATTGAAATTAAATAAAATTAATTATTTAACGCAGCGAAAATTACTCGTGAGATCGATAATTTTAAACTTCGCTAATAAACTACTGACCTGCATTACCAAAAATGCGCTTTAATCATTCATATGCTGATTTACAACTTGTTTCTGATAATTTCAGTAACAGTTCTCCCTCTTTGTTGCATTTTTGATCTCTTTACTTTCTATCTTATGTTCTTCTTCCTATGTCTACCCATTTTCCTTTATTCCCTATTCTGGCATTCAAATCAGCTTCCAATATTTTTCTCCTCCCTTTCATCTATTTTATTGTTTAAAAATCTTCCATTCTGCGTGATTATATATGTATAGTTATCACTTTCATTTCCTTCCCCTCTACATCTACTCGTCTTTCCTGTGTGATTTCTTCCTCTTCCATTTCCTTTCCCCATTCGCTTATCTCTTTTTTACTCCTGTTAATATGCATTCTTTTGCTCTTCCTTTTCTGTTATGCATCTTCACAAATTGGTTCTTGCATATGTATTCACTCGGCATTCTGTTCCTTATTTTCTCCCAGTTCTTTTCTTCTATACTATGATTCTCCTATCTACATATCACACCCTCCTCCTCCTTTTACATCGAATGTTTTCCTTGCACTCCTTTAATATGGCTGCTTGAATATTTACAATCTTTCGTTCCTCGATATCTTAATGGATATCTTCCTTTCCAAAATGCTTCCTTAACTCGTTCTTGATACGATACAATTTTTTCATGGCTGTTCTCATGCTCCATATAATCATAATTAAATCATAATTTATTTATTAGTCCGATTGATCGCTTATTGGATATAATAGGACTCGTCAATTACATTGTGTAGTAACCAGGGTGGGAACAGTAATAACAAGATAAAATGTATATCATAAACTACTAAAATCTAACATCACATAAATACACTAAATAAATATAATAACAATAAATATGGCAATAACTAATAAATGTACAATAATAAAATATCACAGTCAAAGATCAAAGTTATTGGCGAATAAATAAAGATTTTGCTCAATACCAACTTAATGAAAAAATGGACTATGATAGGAACACCAGAAAATGTAATTCTTGTGCATCATGTCAACGTGTTTTGCCGTTTTCCCGACGAAATTGCTGAGCAATTAAAATTTTGCGGAAATTTGGGAATCATCTCGAAGTGATTAGCAAAAAAAAACATTTCTTGAAACATCAACGACCACACGGTCGAACGGACGTAAAAAACGCCCGTAAAGCGCATTTTATTTTTTGAAAATTGACTTATTAAGCGCGTTTTGATAGCGGTTAAAAGAATTTCCACCGCAGTAAAACGATTTTGGAGATTTGTGTATGTAAAATCAATTTACATTTGGATTTTTGTATTAAATTGTTGAAAATCGACATTTAAAAAATGTCTCGATGACACAAAAGTCAAAATTTTGTATTGAATTTTCGGTTAGCGCGCTCTCCATATTGAACGATGCCTTTCTTGCTACGTTTCCTCGGTCTATCTAAATCGCACGAAGTGGCTCTTCTTGTCTCGATCGTGATTTGCCACGCCATGTATGACATGTACAATTTAGAATTTACAGTAAACTTGAATCGCATATGGGACGCGCGATTTCGCTTTGGGTCCTTTCCGGAAGAAATCGAGACGTGCATAAAGTACATACTGTGGACGCTTGTTGTTTTGCGGTCATTTACAACGCCTTTTTACCTGGCACTCTCGTGCGTCATATTTTGGGCCGCCCTACTCGTAAGTGTTTAGTTTTAATTACACTTAAGAAGTGGTATAACGGGTCTTAATGCGTTAGTTTCCATTTACATGGTAACGATGCCATAAAAATTCTTCCAGGAGAAACTGTAGGTACCTTATATGCGATGTTGTTAGTACGTGATACCATATTTGATTTAACAGTACTTTCTTAAGCACTCCAGATCTGCTTTACGGTACTGATTATGAATGCCTTCAACAGAGTGATCGGCCGCTATTCCTAGTACCATGGCTAGTGACCGGTTTCTTCAAGAATGTGGTGCCAAGCATCCTCTCATTGATTGTGGCCGTTTACACCTGCATTGTAACTGATTTACAAATATGGGCTTGCTGCATCTTTATATTAACCCAGATGAGTAGCAGCGCCTTCTTCGTTTATCTGTGGTCCAGCGTCCAAAGGTGCCAGCTCTGACTTTCTCGCTTCTACTAACACTTACCGCCAAAATTTTAGCTTGTACAAAGATCAACAGATTGACACAAGTACAGACCAAATGGCTAAGGAGAAGGAGGTTGTGGTACGGCGGAGGAAGGCTAGATTAATGAAAGGTTATCCAGAGGTTTTCTACGAGTCGTGCATCGAGGAAGAGATGTAACTACCTTATTTCGGCATAATCGAACGTTCACGATTTATTTCAGACATTTGAAGTGCGTGTCCACCTTCGAAAATTTGATGCAACGCGTCAGAGAGAAGAAGGGCCCCAAACAGGCGAAATCAATCGACTCGCTTTTGCAATCGATCGCAAGCACAGTAGAGGAAAATGAGTGGAACAACATGTTCGAGCGGTCCCATAGGCTCGTCTCGAACAAGACTATTAAACAAACCGTAATGCAAACTTTCGGCCTTACCGATGAGGATATTTACATCGCAAAAATACACCAAAATGAAGAATTCAAACGAATACTTTCCGAAACTGGTATCCCCAAAGTTTCTTCAGATGATGACACGTTTTTGTCTGCTCTTTCTAACCCGAGCAGTTCGGCCCAAGACACCGTTTCAAATGATGAAAACGCGTGTGGATCAGCGTCCACTTTGGAGTCTACATTCTCAAACGACTCGGAAACCCAAATTTGCGCGGTTGTAAATTATAGCACAACTTCGCTTGCAGACAAGAGTGTAGAAACAAATCCGATATCTGATGACTCAAAACTGGAAACAAGATCGCCAATTCCACTACCGACTCCAAACCTTCGAACCACCCCCGCCTTTTATTTCGAAGTTTCTAATGGAGCAAGTAAACCTTCGGTTAATAACAAGGTTGTGTTAAGCGACTTTGGTTGTCAAGTCTCCACTTTGAGTAGGAACATTTTGAACTCGCCTCCGAAGGAGTTTTTGACGTTTTTCCCCGAGAGTACCTCGTTATCTTACGGAATTTGTGAGAGTAGGTCCTCATTATTAAACCGAGGGACTTCGGCACATGCGCTAAAATCGCCTACGGCACAATACTGTGTGTAAATTCTGCTTATAATAATAATAATAATAATAATAAAGGTCTTTATTGTCGTTTCCTGCCATGCAAAATATGAAAGATACACAGAATAGATATTTGAACCAGCGGATAACAACAAAGACATTTATAAAATACGCCACCTACTAAATAATGTTGTCCAAATCGAACCACCCAGAAGAAATAACAACATCATACAGTGCACGAGGTGTCAGTTGTATGGCCATTCAAAAACGTATTGCAACCGTCCATTCGTGTGTGTAAAATGCGGAGGTTCTCATAGCACTGCAACTTGCGGAAAAAGCAAAGACACTCCAGCTACGTGCGCTCTGTGCGGAGGTGCCCACCCAGCAAACTATAAAGGATGTGAATACTATCATCGACTATATCAAAATACTCGCGTCAATACGAATACTACTAACCATCTACCATCACCAGTAAAGGTAAACTCTTTACCAACATCTTCTTATTCAACACGTCCAAAAACTAGCTACGCCAATGCACTCAACAATAATACAAATAATGCACCCCAAGCTCCGAACAACGATAGCACGGCAAACATAAACTTAATATTGGGTAAATTCCTAGAAGAATTCAAAATTATGTTCCAACAACTCATCCAGCAAAATAGCATGGTTTTGAACATGCTGACAATGCTTGTAGGGAAGAAATAATGGCTAAAGCACTCAGAATAGCTCTATGGAACTCTAATGGCATAATCCAACATAAAGAAGAAGTTAAAATCTTTCTCCACCAGCACCTAATAGACATACTCCTGATTAGTGAAACCCACTTTACAGACAAATCATACCTTAAGATACCAAACTACACATTTTACCACACCAATCATCCCGACAACACAGCCCATGCGGGTAGTGGAATATTAATAAAGGAGACAGTTGGACATTATGAACTTCCGGGATATGTTAAGAACCACCTACAAGCCACATCGATTAAGGTCTCAACCTTGCCATACAATTTGACAATCTCAGCGGTATACTGCCCACCTCGGCACATACTGAAAAAGGAAGACTTTACTGACTTCTTCTCAACTCTTGGGTCCAAATTTATAGCCGGAGGTGATTACAATTCTAAACACACTTTATGGGGATCACGTCTCACTACTACAAAGGGAAGAGAAATGTCCAAAGCACTACAAGAGAAAAAGTATTCATTCCTATCCACCGGCACCCCAACCTACTGGCCGTCAGATCCTAAGAAAATACCAGATATGCTGGATTTCCAGCTCATATATGGATATAGAATCGAATTACGACCTGTCATCGGATCACACGCCTGTAATCGCAACAATTGCCACAACGGTAATAAATGTTAAAAAAAATACCCAGACTGCACAACTCAAGAACCGACTGGGAAGCCTATAAAAACAAAATTAATGCAACTGTAAACCTAAAAGTGTCACTCAAGAATCCTCCAGAGCTAGAAGAAGCTACAAATACGCTAATTTCACTGATTCAAGAAGCAGCAAGTCATGCTACACCAAAATTGAAAACCCAAGGAAGATCTCTCAACATTTCATTCGAAATCAAAAAACTGATTAGAGAGAAAAGGAAAGCCAGAGCAAGATGGCATCGGTATCATTCACCAGCAGACAAAACTACATTCAATCAACTGAACAACAAACTCAAAGCTAAAATAAAAGAAACGCAAAACAAGTCATTCCAAGATTATATCGCTAATCTTAACCGTTATGACAATTCAATATGGAAACCTATAAAAGCTTCCACAAAACCAATACAAAGAAACTATCCAATCCGAAAAGATACCCCCATTCCTGGAGACTGGGCTAGAAGTAGTAAGGACAAGGTCGATCTGTTTGCACAACACCTGGCTGAAGTATTTAGCCTTGAAGATGCTGTACCAACACAAGAAATGATTGCCAATTTACAAAGTCTTGTGGAAAATACCGGTCACATAAAACTAATAACTCCCCACGAAATAAAAAAAGCAATCGCTCTTCTAAATACCAGAAAATCTGGGCCTGATCACATCACACCGAAAATGCTAAAAGAAATCCCTAGAAAAGGAATTGGACTCCTAACATATATATTTAATGGAATCCTCCGTTTGCACTATTGGCCCCTTCAGCTTAAGGCTGCTGAAGTAATTCTAATAGCCAAACCTGGTAAAAATCCACATCAAGTCTCCTCCTACAGACCAATAAGTCTGTTATCTACTATCTCCAAGCTCCTAGAAAAACTCCTACTCCATCGAATTAGTCCCCTCCTAAATGTTATCCCAGATCATCAGTTTGGATTTCGACAATCTCATTCGACAGTTCAACAGTGCCATCGCGTCGTACAAACAATAAACACATCCCTGGAAAACAAAAAATATTGCACATCTGTACTTCTTGATATAAGCCAGGCGTTTGATAAGGTGTGGCACACTGGTCTTCTCTACAAAGTTAAGCAAATCCTCCCATCCTACTTTCTACTCCTTAAATCTTACTTGACTGATCGACAATTCCGGACTAAAGTAAATGGAGAATACTCGAACACTTATCCAATCCAGGCTGGGGTACCGCAGGGCAGTGTGTACTGTGGTGGGCCCTTTGCTTTATCTACTACACACATCTGATATACCTACTACACCCAATACTACAATCGGTACTTTCGCGGATGACACAATCATTCTTGCAAGTCATGAAGATCCAACAATAGCATCTTCTTATGTGCAAAGTCACCTAAACCTTATACAAGATTGGACTAACAAATGGAACATCAAAATTAATGAAAGTAAGTCAACTCAGGTAACATTTACACTTAAAAAGGGCCGCTGTCCACCAGTTACTGTCAACAATTCAATTATACCTGCATCTCCATCAGCACGTTACCTAGGTCTACACCTCGACGAAAAACATACCTGGAAGATACACATCTTAAACAAGTTAAAAAGTAATCGTAAACGATTTACATAAAGCGCATTTCCACTTGCATTCATTTCCCATTTGTAAGATGCAACTTCTGTTAAAATCGTAAAAATCCGCCCACAAATATGAAAGATAGCGTTGCACATGGGCAATCCATTTTTGACGTGCTACTTCAATTTCAGTTTATGAGAAGAATTTTATTTCAATGCTTTTCTAAATAAGAAAGTTGGAACTGCGCATGCGCAAACCTAAATTTTAAAACTAATGTTAGATTTTCCTTTGTTCCAAGCGTATCAAATTTCACTTAAATAGTTCCATAGATAAAAAAGTTGGCACGGCGCATGCGCAAAATAAAATTTTGAAACTGGCGCTAGATTTTCCTTTATTCCAAGTGCCTATGTATCACATTTCATTTAAATTCTTTCATAAATAAAAAAGTTGGCACTGCGCATGCGCAAAACCAAATTTTGAAATTGGCGTTTGATTTTCCTTTATCCCAAGTGCCTATGTATCAAATTTCGTTTAAATTCTTCCATAAATAAAAAGTTGGCACTGCGCATGCGCAAAACCAAATTTTGAAATTGGCGTTTGATTTTCCTTTATTCGAAGTGCCTATGTATCAAATTTCATTCAAATACTTTTATAAGTAAAACAGTTTGCAATTCGGTTTATAAATGGTCGAGATGCGAAAAGGGCACTGTGAATTTTGAATCGATTCGATTCAACTTTTGGCATTGCGTATTATATGGTTAAAGCTATACCCATATTGAATTTCATGCAATTCAGTTCATAACTAACGGAGATGTAAAAGCGATCGAACATTTCTAAACAAAGTTATCGTTCACATGGACAGATAGATGGACAGACAGACAAAGGAACAGACGGAGAGACCAACCGGCAGGCGACAGATAGCAATGCAAAATTATAAACGGTCTCTAGGATCGTAAATAAACGGCAAAAGTGTAAAATTATGGAACATGTAAAAAACGGTTTTTTGTTTTTTTTACAATAACTTTTTTTGTAAGCGGTAAAGAAAAAATTCCTTCCTTGGTACAAGACTCGACACCATAACGAACCAAATAGCGAAAAAAGTAGAACAATAGCTCTTAAGATAAAAAACTAGTAGCGTCGCAAAGTTAACGGACGGACGGACGGACGGACGGACAAAGTGGCCACAATAGCGCATTTTTTTTTATTTTTGTGGAAATGCGCTAAAAAGAAAAAACAAATCGACCTACGACTAAATAATCTAAACTGGTTGATAGGAAGAAAATCTCGATTGTCCCTAGAAAACAAAATCTTGGTTTATAAGAAAATAATAATTATGGTATAGAGTTATGGGGATGTGCCAGCAAATCAAATACTGCAATTATTCAACGCTCTCAGTCCAAAATTCTTCGAGCTATTACTGACGCACCTTGGTACGTAACCAACAAAATGTTACACGACGATCTCTTTATCCCTTTCGTTTCGACTATCACACAAGAGCGTAGTGCAAGTCATCATACCCGGCTAGAAGCACATGCCAACCCACTAACACAACCACTTTTACTACAACACGACATCCGAAGACTACAACGACGTTGGCCAATTGATCTCAAATAAGAAGTAGGTGAATTCCTCGCTGGAAGAGTTCCCATCCCGCCATCCAGGACTGTCTAGCTTCAAGGTCCCATGTTATCATATTAGCCCATAGAATGTCAATTCTGATTGCTAATAAAAATATATATAAAAAAAACAAACAAACAAAGGAAAAGACAATCTTGAGGCGCAGTTCAAAAATCTTTGTTCTTCCACTGAACCTCAGTTAGAGAAGTAGACATAATAGAAAAAAAAAATAGATATCAGAGTAAAAAAAAAACTTAAATATAAGCACATAGTTTGTAATAATCTCTGGTTTTCCATATTCAACCAACCAACATCCGAAAGCTTGTGAGAGATCCGATCGAATTTGCGTATTCCATAAATTAGACGCAAACAAGAATTTTGCACCCGTTGAATTCTATGAGAATCGTCTTGCGTAATACAAGAGTGATATAGTTCACAACAGTACGAAAACTGTGAGAGTACAAGGGATCTACAGAGAATAGTTTTAGTTTTCTGTGATAAATAGTGACGATGGGGATATATTAATTTAAGGTTGGCATACGCTCTCCTCACATATTTATTAATTTGAGCTGTAAACCTGAAACTGTTATCCATTATTAATCCCAAGTTAATAACCTCAGATTTTAATGGAATTGGAGTGTTATTAATAGTCAGACGGATATAACTTTTTAAGTAATCACAATCACTTGATTTGCCAAACATTATCGCAGCTGATTTACTGGCATTGATCGTAAGTTTATGGTTGCTTATTATGTTTGAGATATTCAGTAAATCAACATTAAACTTTTCAAGTGCCTCCTTATAATGACTAATATCGAAAGACAAATATAATTGAGTGTCATCGGCATTCGGCATACATACAAATTTTGCTGTGATTTATTTGTGTATGAAATGCTATGGTGTAGACGTTAAATAGGAGGGGGTCCCAGAATGGACCCTTGCGGGACGCCTCTAGTTATCAATTTTGACTCAGATATTCCATTAACCGTCTTTACATATTGCAATCTATTAGTTAAGTAATTCGCCATCATATTAATTGAGGTATCATCAAAACCAATGTATTTCAAAATGGATAATAGAATACCGTGAGGATAATATAATATCGTGAATTTAATATACGATTGTATATTGCGATTTCAATTTTTATTGCACAGTTAAATAATATAATTACATACATATGTACAATTGGTTGACCGCACATACACAGACAACCTTGCCTGAACGCTTAGTAACAGTTGGAATGATCACGGTCTGAGCTATAGGTATCTTCATAAACAACACTGGGGTCACAAATAGTGTCCCTTATCGCCTCATTGACCAACGCTGACATTATCCTAAAGTTATAATCATTTTCACCTAAATTACTATACAAAAAGAATGGCAAACGATTAGAGAGTACCCACACGCTTTGCTTATGCTCCTTATCAAGCTTCAAATCATTTGGGAATACCAAGGTAATATTGCTCTTAGCAACGGTTGCTAAATTCCTCCGTCGGTAAGGCTTCCTCAAGTCCCAACATGCGATAGAGTCCTTACTCACCAAACTGAATAACATAACCCCATTCCTATCTATGACAGAAGATGAAGCATGGCCATCCTTCCCTCGACTCTCTCCGATTGTCCTCACCTGCCGTTTTAAGGTGTTGAACTCGGTTTCGTTCTTAATCGACGATGTTTTAACATAAAACTCTCGAAAGCTCGACAATGGATGAAAATAGAGCAGACGGTCTTCCTTGTCGAACAGATCGGGGCTGAGCGCCAAAGAAAAAATTCCATCGGTCCACTCGAATTTCAGCCCGTGCAACTCGTAGGCGGCCGCTAGAGGATCCGGATAGAAGAGGTGATCCGTCAGACGCCAACTTCTCCGCTCTTTCAAGCTGAACACGACCAGACCGTACCGCCAGACGTCGACGGCGTACGCGTAGGCGTCATCGCACCGATTCTTTTGAATGTCAACCGCGAGATTGGAGAAGAGACCGTCCTGCTTAATGAACTCGTCCGGCAGTTCGTAGCGCAAAATCAGATTGTCGGTCGCCAGATCGAAAATCACAATCTTGGGACGGCACGCCTGCTCCGGCTTAACGATCACGTTAATCTGGCCCGAGTCCAAAACCCACAGACGATTGCATTGATCAATTTGCATCCGGTAGACTGAGACCAACCCCTCGCACGTGCCTGTAATTGCCAATTAGTAGTGGTCGGTGGTGAGCCTCTTACCTTTGTTGTGCCAATCCCAGTTCGGGTACGGTTCAAATGGGGGCGATATTTCGTTCGAGGATTTTGGTATTGTGGCGAGGGTGCACGGCGTTCCATCTTTCCATTTCGGAAACGATACAAATATTCGATCCTTATCAATCTCAATACCTAGCGGGAGATTATTTTTTTGTACAAATTCGCCACTTTCAATCGCATTCTGCCTGTCTTCCTCAGATGGATAGGCGAAATCGACCTGTTTCCATAGGTAGCGGGTCTTTAGAGGTCCTGTTGATTCCAGGAGGTTTGGTTCTGTCGGCGCCTTGTAATTTACGTGCGAATCGTCTTTTAAGCCTGGTGACATTACACCAAGCGACGCTAGGTATGGAAGGAATCCTATAATGTTGGGAGAAGAACCTGAAACAGAAGATGGATATAGTGTTAATCTACTAAAAGTGTGGTGGAAAGTCCCTAATCGATAGGTGATCATTCAATGAATCATAGTGACCTGATACCAAAAACAATTGCGAAGTGAACTGAAACCAGCAAAAGTTTGACAGTCACTCTTCTGTAAGTATAATTCGTTTTAACTTGTGGCGGAAGTGGTGCTCTTTTGATTGATGGGGATTGTGACCCTTCATCAGTATACGTAAATTAGTTTTTGTTTCAGAAGGATGTCTCTTTCTCCATTTTTGCGTTCGCCATTTACAGATCTAACTTGTTCCCTTATTGACCACCAATTTTACGGTGTTTGTGCGGATTTGGAACTAAAATTAATAGATTGTCTGGAAGCTTACGGTGTGGATAAAGGACGAAGAAAGTGTCTTGATATTATGCAGGATTTTCGGGAGTGCGCCGGAAGGAACATCCGTAATCAGAGAGTGATAGCCATGCGAATGGAAAGACACCGCCAATATCGTGCTGGCGAACGCTCTAAGAAGGATTTGTACGTTCCTACGGTTAAAACCAATGGATATTAGGGCCGAGTCGTGCAAATAAAAACTGTTGTTCTCTTTATTTTATGTTAGATTACTGTTACCAGCGCTAACCATGTATAAAACGGGGTTATTTTGTAGCTCTTTGGAAAGCCGCCAAATATTCGGTTCTTCGTGTGCTGATTTGTGCACTAACCACAAAAGTTTGTAGTATTTTTTGACAGAAATCAAAATTTTTCATGGGGGCTTCCATTTAACACTAAGACATCCAGACATTGGAATGCAACTAGTGACATTCTCACCGACTTTTGCCCAAATGCACAGACTTTCAAAGAAATTCAAGATTCTTGAACGCGATTGTGTGGGAGTAGGTTCCAATGCAATGCAAAGGCTCCCTTATTCGGAACGGATAGAGGTGTAATAGGTAGAGATAAATGCTTCCGTAGACAGACTGCCTTTCCTTCCTCCAAATAAATGGGCCCTGCAAGATTCACTCCAGTGATGGTAAATGGGCCCTCAATTCTCCATCCGATATCGTGGATCTACTTTTAGTGGTTTAGTACTGTGACGAAGGTATCTCTTGCAGTTCAGCAATACTTTTGACTGACCTCCAACAATACTTTTTTCTCAGCTTTTTACGAATCAAGTGACAAGCGGGTTTTTGGAGTTTTTGGTATCAAGATGGGGGAGATGAAATCCCGCTTGCCCTCCCTACACCAAAATCGGGTTTCCACGCAAGCGAATCCTTCTTTCTCTGGTTTTACAAATCGTAACATCCAACCGTAGATCGCAAGAGTCCTTCGTTAAGATGACGGTTCCACGATAATCCGACTTTCTGAGCTTATCTCAAAGTTGAATAATTGATTTTTTCTTTCAACTTCAATTTCTTCTTCTCTGAAAACAGAGACTCACCAACCAGTAAAAGGTTGGTACAATCACTCAGGACCTTCCCACCATTTGAATCCAATAAGAGGCGTATCCTCTTGAAGGCAAGTCTGTTGCATTCAAATTACTGGCGATATGTTTTTATTTATTTATTTTATTTTCCCTTTATTTTTGAGTGGGCGGGGTTTCAGCCAAGGCTGCTCTACCAACCCAACCCACTATACATTTACAAATATCCATGCCCGAACCAGGATTCGAACCAGGGACCCTTAGCACCACAGTCCAGCTTAAATATGTCTCCATTGCTCCCGTCCAGTTGACTTAAGTAATCACTAAGGTCTGAATTTTTAAATTTAAAATTTTCAAAATATTTATTATAACATTTAATATGGATGATAAATACAGTATTAAAAGTACAAAACAAATTAATAGTTATTTACATAAAAGTCGGGAAAATGACACATGACTGGCGAGGAAATATTGAAGTGCCAGGCTCTTTGGGGCCGAGTACTTTAATTTCCGAGTCAAGTAATGTCATTTTACTGTATTTGTATTTTTTATTTGTATATAAAAGTCAATCTGTCAGTGGTGACAGGAGCCATTATAGACATTAGAAATGTCACAAATGCGGCCGGTAAAGTGACGGTGCGGCCGGGCAAGTGACAGGTGCGGCCGGGCAAGTGACAGGTGCGGCCAGTAAAGTGACAAGCGACAGGAAACGTAGTTTGCTTTGCCTCTGTCATGGAATCTCAAATTTTCTGACAGAAAGTAGGCATGAAAATGAAGGTTTCAGGACGATCTTGGTTAAATAATAGAAATTTCAAATAATAAAACTGTGTGCAATGCATGTGCAATATGCGCAATGCATGTGCGATGCGTGAAATTTCTGTGCAATGTTTGTGCAATATTTTTGCGTTCTAAATATCAAGTCTCTTTCCTACTGTAAAACAAAAAATCCTGCTTTTTCTGTTCCCGTTTGCGTGGGAATTTAGGATAGTGTTTTACTCAAAAACCTCTGTGGGCATACGTCCAACTATTCCTTAAAGTTTCATCGCAATCGGATGGACGGTTTAGACACGCATAAGTGACAGACAGACAGACATTCATTTTTATTTAATTTAATGCAAATTTTAAATATTTGAAAGTATTGTGAGTAAACTTAAGCACTTAATTTTGCTTGGTACTGGTACCGACACCCAAAAAGGCTACAGCGAACTATGCGCAGATGACTAATTAGAGTCTGCAGAAGCATCCAACTGGCTCTGTGGCGCACCAATATGTGCAATCAATAAAATATGAATAGCGGGGTTACGTGATCTTTCGCCTTCTTACGTGCCGGGTACAGTAGTCCGTGGTATAATGACAATGTGCACATTTTAAATCCTTTGAAAACTTATATATTAGGGAATGTCGTTTGAGAACTTATGTTAAAGATTTGTTGCAAAATAACCTATACTATCACTTTTTAATTTGATTCTTTTCAATTTGACAGCTGGTAAGACTGAAAACAGTTGATTTGACGGTTTCTGTCATTAGTTCTCTGAGGCTAGTCGTCGCCGTCGTTGCAGCTACCTCGCAGGCGGGTTAAGTTCGACTCCCGGTCCATGCAGATTTTTTTAAATTTAATAATCAAAAATTGTATTTGATACGTAAGTTCGGTTCATGACATTTAATGTTTAAAAATAATTTGTTTTAAATGTGACTGACTCGTACATGGTCCATTCTATGGGTCCAGTTTTGAAGCGCTCTTTCGAGCATTTCGGCCGAAATTTCATTAATTACACGTGTTATGTTCGCTTCTAATGCAGAAATAGTTTGTGGTTTATCGGCATAAACAAGTGATTTGAGATAACCACATAAAAAGTAATCTAACGGCGTTTGATCACATAATCTTGGTGGCCAATTCAGTGCTCCATTTCTTGATATGGCGTTCTCATCAAAAGTTTCTTTCAATAAATCGATGGTTTCATGTGCTGTATGGCACGGCGCACCATCTTGTTGAAACCATAAGTCGGCTACATCAATATCTTGAATTTTTGCCAACAATTTTTTCATTGTGCGTTCAGTTGGACGATTATGAGCACCATAAAATGGATGCAGAGCACGAAAAACATTAATTTTGGAATGTTCTAATGTAAGTCTATTCATGGTGAAATGTCAACTAATAATGAACAAAAAACACTTGATTAAAGTGTTTTAAAATCCCTGTTGGAAAAAGTACTTCGTATTTGATCACCCGTTACAATCCTCCTTATAATCAAGTTTATTTAGGCAATCTACCTGCTGTTCGAATCTCCTCTACAACTGAGTCACTTCCAATTGGTTCAGCCAAAAATGGGAGTACAGGCAGACCTACAGACAATTTCCGTGAAAATAGTTATTTATATAACAAGAGCGAGAAGTTCAATTTCGCGCATTGAGACTGAAGGTATTTTGAAGAGGCGAAGCCGAGTCAAAATATCAGTCAAATGCGCGAAAAACTTCGCGCTAGCGTTATATACAATATTTTTTCTACAACTGAACCGATTGTTAATTAAATTTGCTGTTTAAGTTCAACTTTGTCACGTGCGCGAAATACTTTTTTTCACTGTTGACGATTTCGCGCACGTTGTCAAGAGCAACCTTACTTATTAATTAACCGTTTAAAAATCTAGTACTTCGCGTTTCGAAATTCGTCAGAAAATGACAGGTTTTTTTGACAGTTGTAGAAAAAAGTGATTTTTTTACCCCGTTGCAATACCTCCCTTACTATCTTGCGAGCGGTAAAAAAAGGGTACTGAACCTTCACTGGTCAAGAGTCAACAATTAGCTTGGTAAAATTAAAAGATCCATACAGTGATAGTAGAATGAGGCATAGGTACGTTTTCTGACGGTTTTTCAAAGTGCTGTGTTTGCTAAAATGCCAAAACGTGGAAAAGTTGCTTGTAATAAACCGCTGCAGACTGCAGGCTCGGCTTTATTTGATATCCGTCATTATATACCGTGTGGCAATTTCTCAAGTATGAGTTAGTTTGCGCATGTTCATTTTGTTTTGATAACTAAATGTTAGATCTTCTATTCATACACTACCCGCGAATCCCAAGATTTATATGATTAACCGAGACAACTGTTTTTTAACCACCCGCACGTTAGTAAGGGAGGTTATTGCATTGGTGTAAAAAAAGACCCCCCATTTTTTTAACGGAAATATACGTTTTGGAGCACTAGGAACTCGAATCAAACAAAATCGCGATGATGTCGGTCTGTCGGTTCGTCTGTACGCGCATTTCCGGCTAAACGGCTGAACCGATTGGAACCAAATTTGGTACGCATTCATAGTTATCAAAGGGCAGAATCGCTCATGCGCAGGTGTGCGGGTGGTATCTATACTAGCCACAGGACCATGACCAGGAGTTTTAAATGAACTCATCTTTAATTACAAAAAGAAACAATTGAAATACTTTAACAGCTAAAGTTTTAGGTACTTGGTCACTATCTTTTTCCAGTATAAAATAAAATCAACTATAATTTGCATATAATGTTACAGTCTTGTACTGAATTGGCTCAAACATGTTTTAAATTATTCATTAGCCAATCGAGCATGCATTTTAATCGTTGCCAAATCAGTTTACTTAATTGAATCCGTCGTCTGAGTCGAGCTCATTAATTCTAATGAAATTGTATTTTTTTCTATGTAGGTCGAATCGATTATTAACACACCTTAAACGATTTTGGGTTGATAAATGAAATCGCCAAAAACTTACCATGGTGGTAATTCGCGCGTTGACGATTACCATGTGGTTGGGGGTGAATGGTGTGTATGTGTCGAGTGTCGGTTATGAGCCCTGTTGGTGGTTGCCAGCTTTGAAACCAGGAATGCGCGACTGCCATTTCTATTCCGGTACTAAAACTACTGCTACATGCCTATTCGATCTGAAAGTAGAATGATCTTAGTAATTAAGTTCTGAATAGGGCAGTAATACTTTCAAGAGCAAGTTGTGCAACAGCTCAGGCGTGAGTGGCGAATTAGTTAGAATTGACAAACTTTTTTTTTCTTATGATCGCATGTTTAAAAAATGAAAGGAAACTATATCGAGTATTATATCCGCATAATGAACGAATTTAACATATAAATTGCTTATGCAACTACTTATCTGAAAGGTAGAAATGCTATTGCTGTTTTTAACAACCCTGGTATGGCCAAAATCTAGGTACCATAGTCTACCAAGAATGGTACACCGCTAAACCTTGCAATAAGTTTTTATAAAAAAAATTACTTTAAATGCAATAAAAAGTATTATTATTATTATTATATTATATAAGAATTTTCCAAAACAATTGAATAAACATTAATTATATACTAACGTGTCAGGTGCCGTTGCATAAAATAAGGTACCTAGCTTACACAGTACATACTTTAAAAAAAGGACAATACTGTATGTATATAAGTACAACTAATTGAAAATAACGAATCGGAGTTAGTGGTGACCGATGTATACCTGCCCTAAGTATTTCAGTAGCACTTCGTTTCGAATTAAAAAGAAAGTACTTAAACCGCAAGGTTACTTTTTAATGCACGCAAAGAATTGCATTATGTAACAAACCAATGCGTTTATCGTGCGGGAATGTTGACTCTTCGTTGTAACATTGCAAACGTTCCATTAGAAAATTAAATTTATTGGCCCCCTCGATTTCTTGAATAAGAATATTTTGGAACGTCCTCAAGTGTCATTGAAGACCTCGCCAAATGCTCTGTTTTCTTTGCATATATTTATTAAAGATCCATTTGTTCAAAATTGGGGTCGCTAATGCAACAAATTCATCGATCAAACGTTAGGTATAGAATATGATTCGTTCAAAATCGGTATAAACTATGAATATTCGTATTCAGTTTTTTTAAAAATAAGTAATACACCTTAAAAAATCGCGAAAATGTGATAACTCCGTAAATAACAATTATTGGTCGGTTTTTCACGAACTTTCTACGGATATAACTATAGGTTACGGTTGGATAGCTATTATTAGTCTGTAAAAAATCAACAAATCATAAAAGTTATTTGGTACCTATTTAATTTCTCATCACATGGCATTTGTTATTTTTTTAATTTTTTCAAAACAAAAGCGCAGCAGTTACACTTTTTGAAATGGCAAGTTATATATTTTTAAAAGTTGTTTGATAGGGTTTTTATTTTTTAAAAAATTGAAAATACGAATACCCTTGTATCAGAAAAAATCGCGAAAAATTACCGCAATTGTGTTTCAACAACGCTCATTAATCTAGTAACTCAAGACGGTTTTATGTTATCGAGATATTGAAGCAATTGATTGCGCCTTAGAACTGTTAAGGTAATAGGTACGCATGAAAAGTTACTAATTTACATTCGTTGGCTGTCAAAAGGGTAATTTTGGAATATTGGTAACTATATTCTAGTAAATAAATAAAATTTCAACGGTTTGTTCTGGATTCAAATTCGTCAACCATCTTTCGGGATTCACCTTCATCGAGTAACCACATTTTTACCTAGCGACACAAAAGATCCGATTGTATTGGACATTGTGCTCCAACATCCATAGAGTCGATTTTTTGGGGGATTTAATATAAAAGATCATTCTAATATTCCTGAAGAGGTCGATCTACGGGAATTTATTCCGTGGACAAATTTGTGCATTTTTATGAATGATAAGTGAACCCAAACCAAAGCCAATGATACATTTTGTTCTCATTAATCATAAAATTGAATTTTAAGTTTACTAATAATCATCCTTTTGTGTGGGTTAAATTTTATTTGGTATACAGAGGCGTGTAAATTTGTTTTTGAGTAGAATGTTGTACCATGTGTTGGATTAATTACATACGAAAATTTAAAAATCTAGGTAGGTAATTAATTAGATATGGACGTGATCACGAGATAGGGTATATACTTTATATGGTATTAATTACGACTACATCATTCATTTAAAGCACAAAAAATATAAGTGGAGTTGGGACGATATTATTTTCAGGCAAGTTCAGGCTATATAATATTTTTGGACAAAAATACCGGTTCAAACCGGGTTTTTCATGCAGGTGAAATGATTCCAAATTGGGGAAAAATAATTAAAACAGCTGAAATTTTCCGCGGGCGAAATCCCAGGGTTGAAAGGGGTGGAAAGTGGTATTTTGCAATTTGTGGCAAAAGTATTAAGTTCAGGCGAAAAAGTAAGAAATAAACTTTTGTATCTGCACTATTTTTACATAAACTCAAATTTTCCGAGAAAAAACGGGAGAACTGGTTTTTTTGTTTGTGAAAAAAAGTCGTAGGGGTTTGAAATTTGAAGAAAACGTACCTTGTTTTATGATAAAAAAGGAGACCATTTTTTGGACTTGTAAAGTTGAGCTGTTTCCAAGCAAGCAAGCAAAAGAATTCGATTTTTCTTAGAATTGTGTTAAAATGCAGAAAAAAGTAATAATAATAATAATTGTATTCAACCTTTGTTGCTATTTTACAATAGATAAGGCAAGTCACACAGAAAAAATCAATAGTAGGGGTAATACACACACACATTGTAGAGATAAAGATGTGTTAATTAACGTAGTTGTGGATAAGGAAACAAGAAGATATTTTAGCAACATTAAAGAGAAGAGATTTCGAAAAATCTTAATTAGCGCGGATCCAATACGTTAATTTAATTGTAAAAAAGCTATTCATCATGTCAAAAACCATGTATATTTTAAAACTGTTTTCCCAGTTTTTGGCGATTTTCTCAAAATTTTTCTATGGGAATAATATTTCTTATTTTTGATTATGAAAATATAAGTCCTTACAAAAATTTTGCATCATGGCGCAGCTTTGTACGATTAAAAAAAATAGGTTTTTCATCCTACTGAAAGAAAGGGATTTTTTTTTCAAAATCGTGAAAGCTTGGAAACGGCTTAACTTTCCGGCTCTCCTTTTTTATAATAAAACAAGCTATGTTTCCTCCAAATTTCAAACCTTTTTTCGCAAAAATAAGAATAGAAAACGAAATAAAATTTCTCGGAAAATTTAAGGCTATGTGAAAATAGTTATTTATTTTTCCCTAATTTCTAATCATTCCACCTGCATGAAAAAGGGAATAAAACCATAGCATCAGGTTTTAATCTTGAGATTATAAGTGGAAATAAAGAAGCAACCTTCCGCAAGGTAAGAGTAGTTGAAAAGTTATTCATTACTGAGCTATCCATGGTATTAATTATTTTGTTACAAAAAGTTAACTGTTACAGTAAAGATTTTACCAGTGCCGTAGAGAGTAGCGTCCTAAAAAAGGGAATGTGGTACGCGTGCAAAGCATGTGTAGTTCAGGAATTATTTGCAGACGACATGGATTAATTTAACTTAATAAAATTATTTATCCCGAGGGTACCATCGCTGTTCCAATAACTAGATACGCATAAAACGGTCATGGATGACTAGATATATGCATTGTAATAAACCTACGCGCAGTTGTTTCCTCAAAATTTTTTCGCTGGGGCCGATTTTTTACATGTATTAAATTTGCTGAGGCATTGTCTTAAACTCGACAAAAAAGTCGTTTGGAACAGAATCTAAATATGAACACCCTTTAAGACTAACTGATTATTTAAGTTTGTAACTAAAATCGCACAATAAAAGCAGATCACTTACCGTGCAAGCGCGAAAATCCGCACAATATGTACTTAACACATTTAATTATATACTAAACATATGAGATATGCGTGGTTCTAGATAAAGAGTGTGAAAGTATTTATTACCTCCACTCCATTTTCCACGCGAGCAACATTTGCTTATGAATAAATTAACCGATCGGAACGTATCTGGACCGTTACTGGTAGGAATCGTAGTGCAGTACCTCTATTTACAAGTACCTAGGTACCTATCGTCTCAAGGAAGCTGTAAGAACTAGGTACATGAATATTACAACCACTTTTTACCAAGATGAAAAACTATAATTACTAGAAATTACTTTCGCATTTTTTCATAGAAGTATCTCACACGTCCAGTCGAGCAATTTTACAATATTGACATCCTGCCATCCAGATGTTACCTCAACAACGCATAGAAGATGTAGTGAAAGTGGTTCCATTTCTTTACAAATTAAGTAATTTGCATTAAACGTTGGAGCGACAAGGAAATACAAATATTGAATTTTAAACGCTTTTTACCTCTTTCACGCCCAGCTGATTTAGTCCCTACCAAAATTTGCCGGTCTATGCAACAAACGAGCCACACGTTAATGTTGAACGATACATCATGTTCAATTTTGGTCCTTTGGAATAGCAGTTTCGTAAAAAAAATCTCTGTGAAAGATAGTGGTCTTTTAAATAAATTGAGAAGTTACCTAATCTTGTGGGTGTTGACACCCTGTCACAGAAATATTGGAAAAATTGGAAAAATTAGCGCTAAGAGATAATGAAGCTATTCCCAATATTTCATTTGAAAAAGTACCCGAACGCATACAAGACCCATTGCAGTATGGATAGAGAATTTTAGAACAATTTCAGATCAATAGAATTTTCCAATAAAAATACGAAGACAAATGGATGCACGGTCGAGGACAAAGGATGTACAGTAAATTCGCTCCAGGAAAATTCGTCCCCAGGAAGATACGCATCCCGGAAGATTTGTGCCCAGAAGTTTCGCCCCCTAAGAAATCATCCCCAGAAGATTTCCTCCTGCAATATTCGTACGGAATATTCACCGCGCGAAAGATTTTGGTTCAAGAATACTGCAGGTGGTTTTAAAAATTGTTTGCGCTCAAAATTTCCCCTTCAATGGCGAATCTTTGGTAGGTGAATTTATTGGGGCGAATATGAATATTATGGAGGTGTAATTTTTCGGGTATTTGGAGGCTAAACTCCGAGAATTTTTTGGGGCGGATCTTTCTACAATGTGTTGATATTTTATATCACCAGTCATTACACAAGGCGTTCTAGATACCAAAAACATATAATGCGCAATGCCAAAAGTGGGATCACACCTTTTATATTACTTTTACTTCTACTTATATTATATGATATAAGCGTTGAGTTGTTTAAAAGAGACGGGTATGTTTTTTCCCAATTGCTCGCTCGCGTTTTTCACGATGAAATTTTGCAGATGGATTCTTTATCAAATTTTTAAAATTGGCCATCATAAAAAAATGAGTGCCCTTTTGACATTTTCTGCACCGAATTGCAGGAATGTCAAAATATGCCTAGCCGACACTTTACGATAGGCAATTCCAAAATTTGGGCTTGATATATTCAAAATTCACAATGCCTTTTTGATTTCATGGCCATTTATGAATCGATTTTAATGAAATTCCACTAGATCTATCCCATGATGGGTAAAATTGCAAACTCAATTTGCGGGTGAACGGAACATCGGAAGTGGGTACCGACAAAGGCAAACTGGATTTTCAGGTGAATAGAATAGATTTCAGGCATATCCGCGATTTATGAAGCGAATTTTATTAAATTGAAATTGGGTATATACACCGAGATATACACTGTATCCAAGATAAGGATGTCCATCGTGGAGATCTCCGAATCCATATCATAGAAGATACGGCGATAACCAAATTATGGAAAGCTTGCGCAATTAAAGAGTGGGCCGTGTGCACGGGTGCACCATCCTGTTGAAACGAACAGTTTCCATCTTTTGTTTTTTTTGTGTGGCGTTCATCGTTGTATTCGTAATAAAAAATGCTACTCAATACAACTCGACGCTAAAAACACAGAAGTAGAAGATAAGAGTGATGCATATAAAAGGTGTGACTCAACTTTTGGCATTGCGTATTATATGTTTTCGAACGCCCTAACTAACTAACTACAATATATTTTTAGGCAATATTCTGTCTCGCGTCCATATGTCCTCGCGGTTTTATGTCCTGCGCCCTTTGGTCCTCGCGCCCATTTGTCTCGCGCCTTTTTGTCCTCGCACTCTTATGTCCACGCGCCCTTTCGACGGCGCCCTAATGTCCTAGACCGTTACTTAGTGGGCGTCATACATTTTATAACGCATAAATAAGGGGGCGTTAATCGTAATTCCAACGTAAGATATGTCAGATGTTTTCTACAGCCGTTATCGGCCAAATTAATTGACTTTATTTACTAACAACGCCATGTGCGAGATAACGAAGCGGTGTTTCGAGAATCGCCTGGGAACAATGAGATGGAACGGATGAGTGGAGGTGACGTGGCTGATTAGCCTAAGGCGGATGTCTCGCCGTGATGCTGTTTCCGGGTCGATTAAAAGAAGCGTATCTCATTATTGCGCTAAATTATTATGAGTTTTCGCCGACCACGTTTGAAACTTACAGAGGCGGTTGCGCAGTTAAAAGGGCAAAGTGTTTCATGTTTTTGATTAAGGGTTGGTTATTAAAAATATAAGTATTGGGTAACCGAATTCAACAAGTCACTGGATTACCCATGTTAAGTGTACAAAAGTGAGTTAAACCTGTCCGCTGTACGTAAAGTGTATGTTGCCCGGATCAGTTAATTAATTTGACTTATCTGTGAGTACTTATTTTTTTCTTGAGATCCCTTGAATTGTTCCGTTTTTTTTAAATTTGTCCGTTTTATAATCGGGTCGTGTTTGTGATAAAAAAGACGTTGGTTTGTTAGCCTCAATTTGTATTCGATTGTTTTTATCATGATGTGTCTTTAAGGTCAATGTTAAGATTTTCATTTGTGTCGGTACCCAGTCGTGCCCCGAGAGGAATTTTAGAAAGTGAGATGAAAATAATTGCAATTTGAGTTAATTAGCTAGGCGTCTGCTGGGTCGTATTTTGACCGCGTACCATTTCACACAGCAATTATTATGAGATGAAAAAACCTTCATTGAACGCAACCATTTCTGACACGCTAACGATTCTTAAGATCAATCCGTTAGGATCGACTTTTCCGGTATGTGAACTTTCCTTGGAGCGAGTTCTTGGCGAAGGAGTATTCTAGCGGAAGTGAATTACACGTGGAAACATTTTCTGGGGCGAATTTTCCGGGGGAGAAATTTCGGGGGGAAACTTACCTGAAAGCGAATTTTCTTGTATGGGGATAATACGGGGCCGAATTATCCTTAATTTAAACTCAAATATGTTTGATTGATTAGTGTCAAACGTTAGACATTGCTATCGCAATATGTATGTGCGACGCTATTCACTGTCCCTTTTGTTTTTTGGTCTATGTTTTTATCTGTTACAGATAACGCAGAAAAGTGCCCTTTCTGAGCTAGAAAAGGTTGCGACCAGTAGTTCAATATTTTTGTTTTTGACGACTCCTTGATATAACGTTTGATTACATATTGATTTTCGATTTGAAATTACTATATTTGTTTGAATCGTCATTTAACAATTATAGCCCCGTTCTTGTCTGCGGAAGCCTGTTTTGATATTGATAATTTCCCTGATTACGAGTTGATCCATTTTTTGCTTCTAACTTCCTCTTCTAGTGTTAATAAGTTCACACAAATGCCTTTCTACAGATGATATACGTGCAGTGAACCTTTCCGTCGGATACATTTTCTTTTACGAATCTGCTAAGGAGTCCTTACCCTCTTGATGAAATTTTTTCGAACTTCCAATGTTAGATTAGGTAGATCGCAAGCATACAAAGGTTGATTACCGGGACGGGCTTTATTGTGCAGGCCATCGCGTTGGCCGAGCTTTGTTGTTGGGATGTTGTTATGTAAAACCCCTTGCACATATCCGGATATATTCCTAGACTTCGAGAGTGCATAATCTGCAAGAGCCTATGATGTGGTCCCTGGTGGCTTTCGATGATTTTACCGTTGAGTGACCACCTATTCGCTCGAGTGGGTCGATCCAATACCAAAAATCTAAGGCCTCATTTCTAACAAAAACAGTCAGGGGGAGATGTCGACTTTCACATAGCTCGAATCGATCGCAGAAACCAAATTTCGTAATCGAGAAACGAATCCTTTCGCGATTTGAATTTTGACTCGTAAAAGTCAAAACTGTGGCCAAGAATTGAATGCCTTAGAATTTTTCTTACAGGCTAATTAACGCCTTTTCCAACAGCGTCCATTAATTAAAATTCATCATTGTTTCTTAGACTAAATTTAATTGACTGTACCCCCCCCCCCCCCCCCCCCAGTACATAAGCTTTAGGCTGTCCATAAAAAACCACACACGGGAATTGTGCTTAATCGTGTTCTTACCATGTCCCCGAATTTACCTGAATTAAGATACTATATGTTATGCCCGACTTAACGTCGCCCCGGGTTCCGGAACGCATTAAAAGTACAATGCGCTATAGATTTCAAATGACCCACAAAGGCAAATTATCAATTCCACCAATTGTACAGATTTTTTCTTGCAATTCCGCCAGCCATACAATTTATTGAAAAATTTTGCCCTCTAATTCTTGACACCTCGCAAACCTCGTATGTGCATTTCAATTGTGGTTGTTTAAAAGTTATTAAAAGTTATCTCTGGTCGTTTGCGATAAGATTTGTTATGTAATGAAGCACCCAGTTTTCACCAATTTTGGTGACCACTCTGTAGATGAACACCCGGTATCAAGAAACGTTTGCAGTTGGGCGTTTCGCTAGAAGATTGTCGCTACGAAAATATTTATTTCTGTGTAGGAATTGGAAATATAAGGTAGAAATTAGTGCGTTAATTTCTAGAGTCGCCCGTAATGAAAATAAAAGGCCTCTTTGGGTAGGGAAGAGGAGAGATAATCAATCTTATTAAGGTTAATTGCCCCATTAATCGAGTTTTGTTTTCCAACGGTATACGAAAAACCAAAGCGCTCAACTTAAATGCTTCTTGATACCGTCTGTTAATCTACAGAGTAGTCACCAAAATTGGTGGAAACTGGGTACTTCGTTACATAACAAATCTTCTTATCTCAAACGACCGGAGATAACTTTTTACAATAAATTAAAACCGGAAAGGTCGTGAAGTTTAAGGAAAATATCAAGGTGATAACAGATTACGCCTTTTGACCTCACATATCAAGGAACAAAAGGAACTGCCGAATTTAGAGATTTAATTCCGACTATTTGGATAAGTATAATTAACCGTAATTAGTTGAATGGGTCATAGACAACAGCCTCCGATTAAGTCGAGATTACATCTGTTAGGTGCGCCCTTAAAGAGTTTGAACTTTTGACATCGTCTCGTATTTTTAAGACCTCCGGGAAGGA